ATCGATAAGACTCTCACGTCATGATTGGTCTAAAGAAATCTATAGCCAGTGGTTTTCAACATTTTAAGCATAACAAGATGTGACCCGATTTCAATGAAAATAATACACTTATGTAAAAATACCTATGACGTTTTGTGAAAAATCTGTATGTGATGGAGAAAAGTGGATATCATTTTCAGATTCAGTGTACAGGAATTACTGTAGAATATGTGAAAATTTCAAGACAATAATGCCATCGCAGGCGTGTGTTATTGATGCTTTCTCAAGAAAATTTAAATTTTATTTGAATATTGCTGTAGTATATTAAAAATAATTCTTCCTTTTTTGCCAGAAAAATGTAAATGTAAAAAAGCAAATGTCTGGTAAAAATGAGATATTTAGATGAGGTTTGACAATTTATTCAACAATCAAAAGAAGGTGGAAAATTTTTGCATACAACCTTCCCTTGTAGGTAGTTTGATTAATGATTAAACACACATACATACTTAGTTGGAAATATTTAAAATAGAAATTCAAAATAAAATTATAAAATTCAAATGGTGAAACTAAAATTATTAGGTAGACATTTAAATAAATTGTAAAATTGAATCTCAGCATATTGTCAGGCAGTGATTTAAATGTGTGATTTATCTTATTTTGTTTTAGCTATTTTATTCAACTAAATATAAATATCAAATACTTGTAGTATTGTAATTTAATTGATGATTAAAGAAAGGAAGTATCTGAAAGTTTAGTCCTGCATGTTATACTCGCATGTCATGTTCACTGTCATGTTAAAGTCAGAAAGGAATCCTGTTAATGAAGATTTCTTATGAAATATGTTAAATACGAGTATTGAAAGCCATTAATATATGTAATTTTTCTGTTTAGCACTTTAATCTGGTACCAGTTTGTTTACTTTTTTTTTTCTCTAAAGAGGAGGTAAGATAGATAACAATAATCATTGTGTTTTTCAATGAACATTTTTTAACATTTTTATTTTAGAGTCAACACCTTAGAGTGTCAAAAAAGGAAAATGACAATTGCAGGTAAGAGATTTACAGAAATTTACTTACTTAAACTTATTATTTTCTTATTTCCCTAAGAATTGATAAAAGTAATTTGACAAGCTTTATTTGCATGAATGCATTATTTTAAAAATTGAAACACACACACACACACACACAGAGCTCTCCACAGTATATTGTGGTATGTTTGAATTGGTGTGGTACATCTAACCCCATGAATGATTTTATCCACTCTGCCATTCATTTTTAACTGTCACACCTATCATCTGAAAAGAATCTTTCTCACCCCCAATGGTTGTGTGGTAAGTCTGTAGCTTTAATGATAACAAAAAAAAATTGTTTCAACACCTGGATACAGCACAGGTAGCTCATTGTGTAGCTGTGTACTTAACAACAACCGTACTCATAGTGATTTCATTGAAAATAACTTTAAGTTGAGTTAGTTAAAATTGACATAACTACAGTTGTTATAAACCATGTTTTTAATTTGTAATCAAGTAAATATTCCCGAATTAATTATGGCTACATATCCTAGAATCTGGCCATCTGTAGGTAGATGTTAAACCACCGTGATGTTGTATAATAACTTGCATGCTCATTCATTTTTCCTTTTGCCATTCCTGTGGCCTATAACTAAAGAATTGGAAAGCCATGATCCATATGTTAGTATTCAGTTGAAATGTGGTGCAGTTAGCACCTAAGATTGACCCCTTTTAGGAGAATTACATTTCAGGACTTTCTGATGAAAAGTTCTCCTACTCCACAATTATAAGAGCATACGAAGCACATAATTTCCATTTTTGGCAAAAGGGGTATCTGTCGTGTTAAACTGTGTTGATAAAGTAGGGGAAGGTGTAATCTCAGAAAGGGAAAAACAGGCTACTTCCCGACTATCTACCAACCACACACAATAATAATGTAAAAGTTAAACAGCTTGTCACTGATGTTAATCCAAGAACATAGTAATCCATTGCAGCTAAAGTAGATATTACCCTGGAACTGTAAACAAGATAACTCTCATAGATTTATGTGTACAAAGGTGACTTGGGAGCCATGCTTGCAAGCTTCTCCTAAGACACATTACTGAAGAGAAAACCAACTTTTGAGAAATTTATGAGCAATATCTGGCATGTTAGAAATGGAAAATATGTTGCCATATCGACGAAGCACATGTCTACGTAAATATATACAAAGGTCTGCACAATTTATTATCATATTTCATAACATACTACAGAGAATGTTGTGAAAGGGTTTTCAAGGATCTTATGGTCATTACAGGTTACAATTATATTTTGTAAGTTAAACATCAGGAGAGTTTAGAATGATGCCAAGGTGAACTCTACATACTATCAAGCTAATGTGTTGAAACTATATATCAAGAGGAAATACCATCTTTTTGGCATATTGGACGAAGCACATGTCTACCTAAATATCTACAAAGGTCTGCACAATTTATTATCATATTTCATAACATACTACAGAGAATGTTGTGAAAGGGTTTTCAAGGATCTTATGGTTATTACAGGTTACAATTATATCTTGTAAGTTAAACATCAGGAGAGTTTAGAATGATGCCAAGGTGAACTCTACATACTATCAAGCTAATGTGTTGAAACTATATATCAAGAGGAAATACCATCTTTTTGGCAAATTGGATGCCATTAGCTCCATCAAGACATTACATCCAGCCACATGTCCAAGACAACATGTCAATTCCTCCATAAAATACAAGTACAAATAAGAATTCATGTTATATCATTTGCAGATATCTTCTGTACCTTTAGGTTACTCATATGAACTCTTGGAATTGTAAGTTGTGTACAGTTGACAGGCTTTTGAAAGAACAAGTAAAAAAATTTGACCTCATTGAAAGCCTCTTACTATGGAAATTGTACTACAGAGCAGTAGTGCATAACTAGGACTGTCATGTAAAATACCATTAGTTGTAAAGGTGTACTCATCTCTGTGTATCATTAACATAGATGGTGAACTTCCACGTGTGTGTGTGTGTATATGTATATAATTAGTCCTTGTTTCTCCTAAGTTGTGTCTATTTGGTATGTGGTAATGAAAGCTCATTCTGATCTCCTCAAAAATTATTTTGAAATATTGTCATTTTATGTTTGAAAAACAACTTCAGTATTGAAGAGAACACAAAAAAAATAACTAGGAAATAATTGGATCATGTGTTTGGTCTAATTCTGATTACTTAGAAAAAGACATTTCCCTATTTATAGTAGTAGATTTCAGGATATCAAGAAAGTTAAGGTATACCTTTTGTCCATTTTATATGAAAAACAAATTTTAAACAAAATAAGTTAGTTTGAGGGACTAGAACCAGATAAATAAGAAGAGAGCAACAAATTTACTTATTTACTTAAATTATTAACCCTAATTTAGTTGACTGTTGTTTATCAAACTCATTGCCCCATATGGAAATACTGTAGTTTGGGCTTAGAAATCAAGCTGATTTTGTTTTAAATATGACGAAGTAAGTAGAACTGGTATCAGGTCATGCAAAAAGTACTGGTTACAAATTCTATGGAGTAGTTTGAGCTTTTAATATAGTACATATGCATTATAGTTTTCTTATTAACACTTGTTAGCCCCTTTTGCTGTGTAATTCGGATATATCCGAATGAACATTTATACCCACTGACTGTGAAATTCAGATTTACCCCATGGCTACCGAAAAAGGTTTCCCTCCACTGTGACATGTGGGAACATCTCCCTGTATGAAACAATTGCCAAACCTGCGAACATGCTACCATCTTTGTTCTACACCATGAAACCTGAATGTTTATATGCCTCAACACAAAAGTGCCATCTTTACAGGAACACATGTAGAATCTATATAAAGACATCTTCTTTATATCTTGGATATTGTTATCTAAATAATTTGTGTTATATTTTGTAATGATTTTGGCCTCTTATTGACTTTGTTTTGCGTACATTTATATCATATACTGGAGAATGCTTATCTTCTAATTTTCCTCGATTTTTTATTATTTTTTTAAATCATTATTTTTCACTATACAATATCGTTTTCAAGGAATATTACTGTCAGATATAGACAGTACAGCTTCTTTCAGTATTGAAAAAGAAATACAAAGGGTCAAATTCATACTTTTATTTTTTGGTGGATGATTGACACTTTTGGGAATCAGCCTGAAAATTAATTGTGCAATGAAAGTGTTAATTCACTATAAAGCTAGGATGATCCTCTATATATTAATGTGTGTGTTTTATTATTGTATCAAAAAAGTAGACATGTCTATAGAACTAAAATCTTGTGATTCACTTACTACAGTATTGACAAAGAACAGTACATATTTTGCTTCTTCTTATGAGAGATGTGTTCGTAAAAAAATAGATAATTGAATCAACTGGGTTACTCACAAAAGTAGCTCTGACTTTTTTTTCTTTTAGTTATGAAGTAACTGTTGTAGGAGGAGTTCCTCATAAGAGACCCACCCACTTGAAAGAAGAAAATCAAGTACAGGTAAAGGCATACCACAACAGTCTTTAGTAATGTATAGTAGTAGTTTTTTCCCCATTGTATTTCATCCACTAAATGAAATGTGGTAGTAATGAAGTACTGGTTGGTAGCTTGTAATCAGACATAATTAATGATGTACCTTGGAAGAGTTTTTATAGTTAAATGCTTTTTTAGTATATACTTTATACTCACTGTGTATTATATCTCCATGTCACTGCTCTGAACATAAAATACTTCTTCGATTGGATTGCACATGCTGGAAAAGATATTTGTTACAAATATATTCTGGAAAGAAACTGATTTTACCCTATGAAGAAATCTTTTGGTTGTTTAAAATAATCAAAAAATACTTGAGTAGTCTTTATTATAATAGCAGAATATTTTGTATTTATGTTATTTTCTCAGTATTTTGTTTCAGTTAACCTAGTTAAAACTGAAACTACAGTTTTTATGTGTGATCTCATTGTCTGTCAAACGGATAGTGCTGCCATGTTGTGAAACTTGATTAAAGGAGGTGTAAATGAACTGTATAGTACATAAGTTCATATTGATATGTGGAGATAGAACCAGAGAGATTTAATTTACATTAATAGAAAAAGTTAGTATAGTTTTGATATTAAAATGCATCTTGATCATTGTGTAAACTTAAACCCTGTAATGTGACACTAGTAACTCAGAAATATAATAATATTTTTTAGATATTTGTACTATATTATTTAAAGTTTGTGTATAGTACATATTTGGCATGGTTTGTAAGAAACTGAGTTTCTTTGTTTGCTTTTTAGTGGAGAAAATGCATATTTTAGTACATGTCACTGAAAATGGTCAAGAAAAGATCTCTATAGTAACCACTAACAATGGGAAAACAAAAGAACTTGCTATAACTTCATATGAACAGAAATTTATTGTAGAAAGGTTGTAGGCTTTTACCATGCTGCACATGAGATGTCACATAAACTGATAGAATTATGTTTATACAGCTTCAGTTTAAACGTTCCTTGGCTTACGAGTGTGACACACAGCTCATTTGTATAATTTAGTTTGTCATTTATTCAGCAGATTCAAAACCAAAAGGTCTATATTATCAAATATATATGTGTAAGTTTGTAATATTATTATCCTTGTAAGATGCTTATTAATACTGATTTTTTGCTGTTTCTTCTATACCTATCATTCATGTTTACCAAAATTGTAATAATACAAATATTGTAATTTCTTCAAAAAAAGGTCTTAAATTATATGAAATAATATACATTATATATCTAAGTAATTTCATGATAGGATTATAGCTCTCACCACAAATGTGATTGGCTATTTTACACCTGTATTTTACATGACTACCTATTTATAAGTAGTGGACATCCTGCATGCCGAACTTCAGAATGGAAATATTGAAACATAAATTACTGCATGCCTATATGACAGTGTCAGTTCATTATGCTTAGTAAATTGAATGTATAAATCATTGTGTCTATAATACTATAGTGTTTTTAATTGGTATAATTTTCCATGGTAGTATTGTATCATCACTCTCCATAGTTTAGTCTAATTGTACAGTTTCTGCATGTAAAGGGTTTAAGGCTAGTAAAGCGTTTGCATGTTTTAAAATGATTCTCTAGTGCTTTTTCTTTAAATGCACTGTCTTAAAATTGCATTTGCAGCTGAAAACTTTTAAGATAAACATCTTGGGTGCTGTTACAGGGAAATTAATATAAAGTGTTATTTTAGGATAAAGTGCTGTAGTAATTGAAAGAAGTTGGCTTTTGAAAGATACAAGCATTTATCATAGAACTTCTAGCTTAGTACATACTTTTATGAGGGAATAAACTATCCAAACCTCTTAGAACTAATATAGTCAAAACCATTGAATGAAAGTCTTTAGAGCTGGTACAGTCAGAACTACTGAGTGAAACATTTATAACTTTACAGCGAAAACCATTATAGCTATAACAGTTAAGACCACAGAAAATAGTGTAACATGTTACGCTGAATGTGAAATTTGTAGTCCATAAAATATTGTAGTGAGTTTCTGTATATTTGTATAGCCTATCATATTGTTACATATTGCAATCTGTTCTGTATTGTGAGCTTGTTAAGCATGTAGTACAATGCTTTTTAATTATACTGAGTGAAAGTAATTTGCATTGCAGGTCATTGCCAACTATGACATTGCATCTCAAGCCATCTGTGCAAGAACTAAAACTATGTAAAAACTACTGTTTTTTAATTTCCTTTAAATTATTTTATTTACAAAATGCCCAAAAATCTACTAGTGTTAGTTATTATGATTTTTATTACAACATAGTCTTTTATCCATTTTTAGTTTTTATATAAGTAGTCCTATGTTTTTTATTTTTGGTGACAGATTTTTAGTTTGTTTTTGTTTTTATTCTGAGTAGTCAGGATATTTAAGAAGAAAGCCACATTTGCCCTCAAGATTAGGTGAGTTTATTTGATTTCTGTGTTTCTAAGATTTATAGGAATATATTGTATCTGTTTTTGTTATGTCCTACCAGGTATAACTCTTTCCAGTCCAGTGGAATTATATAGGTCACTTTTGCATTTACATTCATTATAATTGACAACACAAATTAAGTTAAAATCTGAAAACAGACATCTTAAACATAAAACAAGATAACCAGATAATATTTTTAGACTTGTATTAGATTTTTTAATAGATTTAAAATTCATAAGTAAATAAAAACCATTAACTTTAATATTTTTATATACCATACAAGAAAAGTACAGAACCTTGTCATAGTTAGATTATCGAATACATAAATTTAAGGAAAGCTTCTACCTTAATAACTGAAGTTATAAAAGGAAGAAAGGCAAATAGATTGTGAGATAGAAAATAATTCTTGCCTTCAGATAATATATTTATGATGAAGTTACATGTAAAAGCTTTGAAATTTGTAAAACAAAAAATGCAATCAGTTGAATTTTACATTTTCTTTTTTTCTTACACCTTTGGTATTTCAAAGCAATGAAGTCAGGCCTGCAATAACTGGTAGTTCTCAGATCTCGGGCCTGGGTTTTTATTTCCCAATGAGTTGTGAAAGTTCAGTCACAAAGAAGGTAAAAACACAGATTTGTACAAAGAACAAATCCTTAATGCTCACAGTTAACAATACTAATAGGCAATACTCCACTAGCACAGTACAATGGTTAAGTGATTTTTCAATAGAAAGTGTAGGACCAGTAAGAGCTAATGAAGACTTTAGTAGAAAAATGCCTCTGTTGGACTGTGAGTTCCCACCTTGTAAGTTAAACTAACTAAAATGAAACCACTAAATTCCAATAAACCCAAGTTAAGTTAAAATATTTTTACTTTAACTCTATAGCCACGGGTATCCTTTACTGCACGACACAAGGTTTTTAGTCTTACATTAAAAATTTTATTAAACTATTAGATAATCAAGAAATTAATGTCACTTTTTTTATATGAAAAAACCCAAACAACTTGTATTTCAAAAAAAAACATTTATTAAATGAAATAGTCTCCATTCTTATTGATGATGCTTTTCCATCTTGCAATCAAGTTGTTAATGCCTTGATTAAATAAATCACTTGGCTTTGAAGCAAAAAACATGTTGATGTCCTCCTCTTTAACACCTTTCATATTTGCATACATTTTCCCATTAAGATGTGTTGCAGCGAATGAAAAAGATGGTAATCTGATGGTGCCATATTTGGAGAATATGGTGGGTGAGGAAGAACTTCCCAACCCAACTCCATAATCTTGTGTTGCATCAAATTTGCCACACGTGGACATGCATTGTCATGGATAAGAAGAACATTCTTCCAATTTACGAGTGAAGGGCATTTCTGATGAAGGACTTGATTTAAATGTTCCAGTTGCTAACTATAGATCTCTGTATTGATAGTCTGCTGTGGATTGAGGAGTTCAAAATGAATTACTCCTTTGATGTCCCACCAAATGCAAAGCTCCACTTTCTGTGGATGGAGTCCAGGTTTTGGGGTCGGAAGTGGTTTTTGTCTAGGACTGAGCCATTGTTTTTGGCATTTAATATTTGCTTAGAGAATCCATTTTTCATCACTGGTGACAATTCTGTCCATAAATGATTCACATGCATTACGTGCCAGAAGAGGCGATACAACATTCACACGTTGGAAACGATGATCATTGGATAGTTTGTGAGGCACCCAAACACCTTCTTTATGGAGTTTTCCCATATTTCTTAGATGTTTACATATTGTTTCATGAGAGACATACAATTTCGGTGCCTCTTCAAGAGTGTGTTGCCTTGGGTTAGACTCAACAAGCGTCTTCAGAGCATCAATATCAATTACAACATGTCGGCCACTGCCATCACAGTTTTAAGGCTAAAGTCACCAGAAAGAAATTTGCTGAACCATTATTGACACTTACGAACATTCAAAACATTTCCATAAACTTCTATGATATTCTTTGTGGCTACAGAGGCGTTGTTTCCCTTCTTGTATTTAAACAACATTACATGCCAAATGTGTGTCTCATCGTGTGCCATCACTATAAGGGATTAGAGTATACTAAACTGTACTCATTATATAGGCTACACTAACGTGACGTTATATTTAGGTGGTTCATTTAGCTATTATACGTCATGTATGTTTTTTGGGGGGTGGTTAATGAAAGTGTTCCAAAACGTGACATTAATTTCTTGATGACTAAT